ACCGCAAAATGCTTTTCCCCCAAACTCTATAGCAAAAAAGATCAAAACAAACTTAATCAATCCAATCGCAACATACCAAAGCACCATAATACGCCCAAAACATTTCGGATTTTTTCGCCAATAATAAAAAGCGAAGGCAAAATGACTGCCCATTAATTGTATATAAATTATAGTTGTTGGCTATTTTTTTTGGTGGTGTTGATTGACTTGGCAATAGGAGCCCCTCTTTTGCGGTCTTGATTTTTTTTTTCGGCTGGTGCGAGCTATTACACCTGCCAAAACGCACGGGGCACTCGCTTCACGGCGGGGCAGTGGCGCTAGAGACATCTGGCAAGAGAAAGGAAGACCAAACACCTGTCGTCATCCACCACATCATTTGTCCACCTGTCCACCACATCTTCGTCCACCACATCTTCGTCCACCACATCTTCGTCCACCACATCTTCGTCCATCACGTCTTCGTCCATCACGTCTTCGTCCATCACGTCTTCGTCCATCACGTCTTCGTTTACCACATCTTCGTCCATCACGTCTTCGTCTACCACATCTTCGTCCACCACATCTTCGTCCACCAGACTATTCCCACCATGTCTGAGGCCGGGAATGACCGCGCGGACTCTTCCCTATCAGGCAGCGACAGCGCGGGCTCTCCTCCCCCCGCAGATGTCGACCGCACGGTCTTTTCCCCAGCAGATGTCGACAAAATGATCGCCGGGTCTCACAAGATGATCGCCGGGTGTGAGGAGTTTACGACAGAACTTGGTCGTCTCGCGAACCAGCACCGCGACTACGTCACACAACAGGGCCTGCAAGCAATGATCCAGCCCATACTGGACAGGATGGACACGATGGAGACGAATCTCAAGGCGGAGCAGAACCGGATGGAGGCTCGGCTCAAGGCGGACCTGACGACCCAGCTCGACGCCTTTAAAACGGAGCATACAAAAGCTACGGCAATGGCAATTGCTGCAAGGTATTATACTACATTGTCTAGCTTCACATTCATTTTGATGAATTTTTCCTAACAACCTGCTCCTCTAGCATCACCAATGCCTATACCCGTTCTAACAATGGCCGAATCACCAACCGAGACCAACCTCTCAACCCGATTGTGTCGCTTACGACAGGCGAACCGATCATGGAAACCACCAAGTCGATGAACGAGCTCGCAAATCTTTGCAGTATGTTTTGCTCCCGTTTTTCATTGCCAAACACCACTAAAAAAAACAAATTTTACATAGGCAACCGCAACCGCATCCGCTTGAACAACCATCTCCAAGCCATGGGCCTATCCGTCGACGGAAGCACTGGCGAGAAGCGGCTGCGAATTGCTCAGGCGATGGGGGCCGTAGGCCTCTAGTCCATTGTAGCAGGTTCAGGTTCGAAGGCTTATCCTGGGTCAGGAATCCCTTCACTCTCGGCGAGTGAGCCTGTGTTATTTTCCTTGTCCACCTGTACGATTTTCCTTGCTTCCTGTACAACATTTTCTTAAGTTTGTCCAGGGAACGGAGAGGCCCATTAGGGCAGTAATGTAGGCTAGTACGGGTTACATGTTTTCCTTGTCTTTTCCTTTCTTTTTTCTTCATTTTTACGTGGTTGCTGGACAGGTGCCCATGCGGGGCAGAGAGGAGAGATGTTGATTGTGGACAGCATCTGTTTGGGGGAAGGACAGGAGATGAGCTCATTTGGAGTCTTAGCATGGTGTGAGGGCACACCATGAGACTCCAGGGCAGTGTGGAGAGAGATGAGTCATGTGGTGGTCGGGGCCTAGTAATAGAGTAATAGTAATCGTCTTCGGTTGTCCATCCATCCGTGTGCATGCCTGTTCTGTTCCCAAGCTCAATTATCATCATCACTCGTCGCTCTCACTCATAATCATATCCCCCTGTCCACATCCATCATTTCACCATATACTATACGTCGCTCACAGCTGCAGCCTGTAGGTCACCACCTCGAACGCCCGCAGATCGATGTCGAACTTGCAGTGCGAGAACTCAACCTCCTCGAGGTCGTCCTCCAACAAATTCGTCTTGTACACCTTCTTGACATCCCAGCTCGTCTCGATTGTGCCCCGGCTGCGGCCGCCAAGACTGTCGTAGACACGCACGATGACGCTGCGGCCCTTGCGCGTTGGTAGCTCGCCCCGGCTGACGTCCTCGTCGTCCTCGCCTCGCTTCACCGTGTCGAGCACCAGTGACGGGCTTCCTGTGAGCCTGACGGGCCACTTGGAGAGAAGCGAGTGCATCGCCGCCTCGGGCTTCGACATGACTTTTAGTCTGTTGTTGAACTCGTACGCCTTGCGCACGGTCGTGTGACCCAACGCCCCCTCGTGCGGGAGGATCGCCCAGCGGATGTGGTGCGTTCCCATGTCGGCGTGCGCGTCGGGCGCCTTGGGCGACCGCAGCAGCGACAGCCGCATCAGGTTTCCGACGGTTGCGAACCCGTACTTGCTGTCGTTGAGGATCGACACGCCATAGTCGTTCTCCGACAGGTCGGCAAACTTGTGGCAGCAGACCTCGAACTTGGCCATGTCCCATGTCGTGTTGTAATGTGTCGGCCGCTTCACGATTCCGTACTGCGTCTCGTACGACGCCTCCGTGTTGCGGACGTCGACCGGGAACTCAACCTTGAGGAACTTCATCGTCTCGTGCCAGTCCACCTCGCTGTGAACCTCGACTGACGATTGCTGTCCCTCGATGGCTGCCGAAAGGCTGATGGTGGTCTTCAACGAACTCTTGTCGCTGATCTTGGTCTTGGTCACCACGCTCACCCGGTGCGACTTCTCCTCCAAGATCTGGGTCGTCCCGCTTGAGAGCTCCTTACGGCTGTCCAGGTGGTACACCTCCACGTCCCAGGCCTGCCAGTACAGCGGCTTGTCGTCGAAGATGACAAACTGGTTCGCCTTGCCGCCCTCCGGGATCACCTCTCGGCAGACCTTGTGATCATACAGCGACGTGATGACGCCATCCTTGACCTTGATCCGGAGCTGGTCGTTCTCAAGAACGAACACGCCGTCCGACTCCTCCTTAACCGACACCGCTTCCTTAGTCGCCGACGTCTTGAAGGTCCGGACGCTGAGCGCGTTTCCTTCGCCACAAGCGATGCCACACTCGTTCTCGCCAAGGTCAACCACCTCCTTGCGATGCCAGGGCAGCGTGTTCAAGGCCACAACGTCCTCGACAGTGGTGGCATTGGTCTCATACAGACCTAGAACCTTGTAGATGTCCTTGCGGACCAGGTCTGCAGTCTTGAAGAGTTTGGCGTAGAGCTGAAGATGGTTGTTGATGACAAGTTAGCAATTGCGTGTCTTTTGTTCTATGCCCGAGGTTCCAGGCGGGATACTGGCGGATGGGGGCGCAACTTACTTCATCCGAATCATCGTAACACATCTCAATGGAACTGCCAGGCAGGCAGTCGTGGAACTGACACAGTAGTGTCCCCTCCCACATGTCGTCGATTTCTTTCTTGGGGTACTTGTACGAGCTATCCTTGAGCGATGCGATGGTGGCCAGCAGCTCGACATCGCGGAGAGTCACCTCAGCCTTGCGGTTGTTGAGCTTGTTGTTGGCCTGGGTGGTGTAGGTTCCTCTGTGCAGCTCAAAGTATAGCTCGCCGTACCAAGTGACGAACTTGTCGGCCTTGTCCTGGAGCTTGTCGAAGAAGTCGTCGACCGAGTTACCCATGTGAAGCCTTGGGAGGAGCCCAACCTGGTCGCTTATCCCGCGGCAGCGACGTAGCTTCTCGATGTGCTCCCACGTCGGGCCACCGCCGCCATCGCCCTTGCCGAAGACCAACAATGACGTCTCGTCCTGGTCCATTGATTTGTGCTGGCTGATGCTACGCTTCACGTCCCCGAAGTTGGCGGAGGCTGTATACGTCTCGGACGGCGGCATATGGCAGAGGACTTGGCTGCCGTCCAAGGAGACCCAGTTGAAGGTCGTGTGGGGGAATTTGTTGATATTGTTCCAGCTGAGCTTCTGCGTCAGGAACCGCGTCATGCCGGCGAGGCGGCAGATTTGCGGCAGCTGGCTGGAGTATCCAAAGGTGTCTGGGAGCCAGAATGTCTGGCACCGCTGCCCGAAGTTACTCTCGAAAAAGCGTTGGCCGTAAAGAAACTGGCGTACGAGGGATTCGCCGCTGGGCATGTTGGTGTCGTGTTCAACCCAGCTGCCACCAATCGGATGGAAGCGACCCTCCTTGACCTTGTGCTTGACGCGGTCGAACACATAGGGGTAATCCTGCTTGAGCCACTTGTACTGCTGCGCCTGCGAGCAAGCAAAGTTCAACTCCTGGTAGGTAGAGTATAGGTCATGTTAGTCAGCAGCACAGAAGCAAAGGCTGCAGCCATGTTGCGTGAGAGTTACATACCGGGTACCGGTCCATGAGGTCGCATTGGTTCGACCACGACCGGGCAACCTTGCGCTTTGTCTCGGCCCAAGGCCACAGCCAGCATGAATCGATGTGGCAGTGGCCAATGCCGTAGACCAGCGGCTGCTTGTCGCTCTCGTAGACTTTGTGCGAGTCGACAAGCGAGCCGAGATACTCCTGAGCAATCTTGCGACACTTGACGATGGAGTCCTTGTTCCCGACCTCGAAGGCATCGATGATGTCGGTGGAGACCTTGAGGGCCTTGTGGCGCTCCCACGACTCCTCAGGGAACTCCCTGGCGGCGTCGTTGATGAGCCAGGCATCGATGTGGAGGGCACGGGCCTGGAGGTTGATGGCGACCAGCTCGCAGCGGCCGAGCTGGAAGTACTTGTTGGGGTCAGGGGGCTGTATGGAGTCTCCGCCGGGGGCGTTGCCAAACATGCCGTTGCATGCCATCTCGATGTAGACGGTGTGCCACTCGCCATCACGGAACGAGTCGGGCAGGATCCACTCGACGCGCTCGCCGCCGCCCGTGAGGCCCTGGAGCGGATTCCCGTCCTCGGACCAGACCATGCCCTCGTTGTTGGCGTCCCAGTGCAGCTCCAGGTGCTCGAGGCGGGTCATGTTGTCCGGGACCTTGAGCTTGACGCGGAACCAGTGAGTGGACCACGAGGGCCCGAACCAGGAGCCGACCTCGGTGGGCCCAAAGTCGTGGGACACGACCTCCTTGAAGGTCGGGCGGGACAGGTCCGGGGCGGACCAGACCGAGAGGTCGAAGTGCGGGGGGCCGGCGACGGCGGCCTCGCGCGTCATGGCGAGCAGGTTCTGGCCCTCATACTGGCCGCCGCTGAGGAACTGGGTCAGGCGGTCGCGGTAGAGGTTCGAGATCCATTGGCCCACGGGCTTTGGGGCCCGGACGGGGTACGACTTGGGAGCCGTGGTGGCGGGCTTGGTTTCACCGCCCATGGTTGCGAGACGGGATGCGGGTGTCTGTGGTGACGAATTGGTGTCTCCGTCGAGGTCGAGTCTGGCTGGCGTCTCGCTTTTGAGCTTGACCGCGGCCGTCGGGGAAATCATGGGGGAGCACGGCGAGCACAGCTCACAGAGCTCAAAGGGGGAAGAGCACGGGGAGCGGGGGCGGCAGGTCCCACCGGCTTGTCAGGGGTTGTGTGGGGAGCCGGCTGAGGGGCTTTACGTCAGTGCAGTGCCGAGAGTCAGTCCGAGGATAACCGCCAAACAACAGCAGGGAAGGAGGAGACAAAGAAGGTAAATACAAGACAGCACTTGACCTCCTGGAAAGCGCAGCTGCCACGGCCTGTAAGACGTTTCACGCCAATGCACCGTCTGTAGCTGCCTCCTTGTCCAATTCCCTGCTCCCCCACCCGAAAAGCACCTCTGTTGCAGAATCATTGCATCAAAAGGTCATGCTGCTCGGGTCATGCCATCGCCCTCCCCGGTTGGGCGTCCTTCCCCGCACTTGGGCCCAGCCTTTGCCCGTCCAATCAGGGTGGCGTCGAGCTGTCCCTGGAGTCCAAAAAGTCAGGCCGCTTGGTCCTCGTTTGCAGCACTGAACTACGGGGTGCAGCCATCCATGGATTTATTTCCCAACACAAAGGCAAACATCTCGCCCACTCTGGCACTTTTCCTCCGCACCCCGGCGCCACAAATATCTACAGCACAGATAATTCCGTAGATAAATGTGTTCATAACCGCCCATCTGGTGCTCTGGTCTGAGTGTCTTGGGTGGTTTGTGTAATCCACCCTGCGTAAGCTAGCCCGGCACATATGCAGGCATTTAGACTTGTATGTAGTAATACGCCGTATACAGGCCATGATCTGCGTGTCTTTCTTATCACGAGTTCCTTGCAAGCCACATGAGGTACACAGATCTAGGGTGGGTAGGACAAGACTCTGCGTGCTTCGTCAAAGCAGTCGAAGCTTGACTGGCCCAATGCCACCTCTTATGGGATACCTGCATACACATAGATATAGTCTTTTTTAATGTTATATTTTATTGTTGAGCACATGTGCCACATAGAAGCAGCCACGTGCTGTTCAGGCTCGTGTACTGGAGGAAAATGGGGGTATAAGCAGTGCTTGATCCAACTATGTACAGCTCCTCCACGCCCCAAGGGCTTCGCACGTAACACACAACCCACACACATGATTAACCGAGGAAAAGTAACCCTGAGGTGCAACCCGCCTGTCGCCAACAAAGAGCCTAGAGGTGGCTCGCCAAACGCCGGCTTCCCAAGAGACGCCCGAGACAGACGGACAGAAAACCCAAAATAGAAAGAAAAGGAACAGAGAAGAGAAATGATAAATAAATAAGAGCTGGCTGTTGGTTTAGCGCCTCAAAGAACTTGACCCGCCCGCTCTGGCGTTGTTGCCAGTGCTCTTGTGCACCCGCTCCGAGTTATGGTCGGCGGTAAAGTCCTCCATATCATCATCATCGTATGAGTAGTCGCTGGCATCATCGTCGTAGTCTTCTTCCTCTGCAGCGACACGTTCGCTGCCCTGTCCGCCGCGCGGCTGTGCTTCTGGTTCCGGCCGCCACCTGTGCAGCTCCTCGTAGTCACTTTCACTTTCGCTCTGCTCGTCGTCGGTGAACGACAATGCTCCCATCAGGGGCACGTCGATCCTGGCCAGCTGGCTCTTGATCATGTTGTCGGCGACCGAGTAGAGCTTAGAATCCGAGTCAGCGGTCGGCTCGAAGTCCATGGTGAAATCGAGCTCGTCCTTGTCGATGGGCCTCTCCTTGAGACCACTGTCGGGGGCTAGCAAGTCGTCTGGGATATGGCTGGCCCATTTGCTGACCGACTCCTCCTTCTTGACCTTGCCGACACCGGCCCTCTCGGTTAGAGCCCTCCGGAACTGTCGCTTCTGTCGCTTCCTGCGCCGCTGGATGCGGTCGCGGACGTACCATGCAACCACCAGAAGGGCTGCTTGTGTCATCTCTTGGGTCTTTTGTCGCTGCACGTTGGCCCACGCCTGGCACTTTTGGTGTTGGAAGTTGGATATGGCCTGGCATCGCTGCTGGTAGTAGGCCGCGATGCGTGATACCATGGCTATGTAACGGGGATCCAGAGGCCCGGTGCCCGGTGCTGGCGGCGGCGGCGGCGGCGGCGGAGCCGTAACCGCACTGCCGTCTCCCTCGTGGCACTCGCAGCCGTTCTCCGTCCTCTGGTCTTTGGTTGGGAGAGTCTGGATATGCCCAGCCACCTGTGCCATGACCTCAGCCGCCGGCTCTTTCTCCTTTAGGGGAGACTGTGACTGCTTGGGCGGGAAGTTGAGACAGTCTGGCGGGGGCGTGATGGGGGTCTGTGGCTTGAAAGGCAACGGGGTGCCCGTGACGGGTGCGGTCGCCGTAGCCATGGGATGTTCGTCTCGCGCGCTATCGTGGACGGAGAGGCTCGCCGTGTCCTTGCACCCACTGCCTCCTTGGGCTGACTTGATTCGCTAGCGCTCGAGGCGGTTGTGTGAATTGGTGGTTGTATGTAGTTGGGACGACGCCAAGCAGAGATGAGGTAGGTTGTCGAGTAGGTACCCGGGAGGCACCTGGCAGTTGGGGTTGGTTGGAAGTTTGTATGTAGGACAGACTACGAAAAGGTCGGATTCGTAGTGGCAGGCTTGGATTCATGTAACAGTCTCAACTGGGAAAAGATATGAGAGGGACCGCGGAGGGGGTGGGGGATCAAGCACAGAAAGACGGGAGGACGATTTATACATATCTCTACCTGCGATCTACACGGGGCCGGGGAATGGCATGGGTACTACTGGTACCTACCTACCCAGGCAACTGGCTAGGTAGAGGCGGGCAAGCTGATGGCGGTGGAAAGTTGGGCAGGGTTCGTTTGGCTGGGTAGGGCAGGGTAAGGGCAGGGCATGGCAGGATGGCATGTACATGCTGTGTACAATATTGGGGCTCAGGGGCGGAAATAGGGTGTCGTGCTGGGTCGAAGGACACGGAAGCAGAGACAGACGGCAGGAGAACCGATCGGCAGGGATGGACGCCAGCAGGGCGGTCATCGAGGCCAAAAAAACGGGGGGGTGAGCTGAGAGGATGGGGCAGCTCGCAATCCATCCGGAGTCAGGACCCAACTTTACCAGAGTGGCCTGGCACGTTATCGGCGGGCTTCTGCGGGCGGGAGGCAGTTGGTTGGCGCATGTTGGGTCGAATGGCGGGCGGAGCTGTCAGAAATCGTTCGAGGTATCGTTGCAGACGAGCCAGAATCGGGCCATGCCGACGCGCCAGGCTCTGCCAGCAGCCCCCCTCCACAAAATTTGGCCTGCGCAGCCGTGCGCAGCTGGAGGCGGCCCGATGGGGCCATTGTGTGGTCATGCCAGGCCAAGCACCCATTGTCGCGCCAGGCCACCTCGGCCAAACGTCGCCTCTCTGGCCTGGAAATGAGCGATAATGCCGCCCATCTTGCGACTTCCCCTCCCCGCCCGCCAGCTCGTTCCGCTAAGATTAGGCGCGTGCCGCCCACTGGATGATTTTGATGTCATCGTGTTGCCGCGATGCTGGCTGGTGGGCCCATCCGAGAGCCTATGCGAATGGTGCTAAAGACAGCCAAAAGGCAAACGGCATTGTCGCGGCAATGCGACCCAGCTTGGAATCCGGGGTTGCTGTCGCGCCGCCTGACAAAGGAGGCGCTGTCTCGGCGGCGGCAGTTTGTCCACCCGAAGTCGCTGTCTCGGCTTTATTTTTTCTTTCCCTTACTAGGTACCAGGTACCTCGAGGCTCTTCCGGGCTGACCTCTGATGTGGCTCGGTCCGTTTCGTCTTCAGTGAAGCCAATGTTTCGTTGAGCTTGCGCCGCCTTTGGGAATCTGACTTGTCACGAACCCCAGAAAAAAAACCGGACTGCAAAACCTACTCCCCAGCACCACAAAAAAGTAGCCCACTCAATATGCAGTCATTTTGCCCTCTGCATCTATGATCCGGCAAAGCGAAAAACATCATTGTGGCTATAAGTAGTGCCTTTTGCATCAAGATAATCACAAATCCCTTGAACGCGTATTCTTTTCGGTGTAGAGTGGTGCGCGGGCATATTGTTCGGTTTTGGTGCTGGTGCAATTGTGTTGGGAGAGGTAGAGTTTGGGTGGGGAAAAACATTT